ACAGTCCAAATTAAATAACCTGTAAAAATTCACGCTGTTGATCTTAATAACTAAATATCATTCAAAAATAATTAAATCAGTAGAGAAACGATAACAGTAATGAAGGTTGATACACAGAAGTCTAAAAAAACAGGTTGTACAACTTTCCTAGCTGAGGGTACATAATAAGTGTGGGACTCTAGCCTTTGGAAATAGCCCTCTCCTTTTCCATTTAGCCTTATAATTTTGCCTTTTAATCAGCAAACCAGCACTGGTCATCAAACATTTTGTTGCTTATTGTTTTTCTCCTCCTCCTCTTCTCCCTCATCTTCCCTTCCCCTCTCTCCCTTTCCTTTTCTTCTCTTTCTTTTTCTTTCCGTTGAACATAAATTCAGTAACCTTGTGCATAAGCAAGTGCTCTATGTCTGAGGTGTACCCACAGTTCCCCTATGTATCTCCACCTTTTAAAAAACTTTTAGTCTGAGGCAGTCTCCCTACATTGCTAGGCTTGCTTTAACTTTGTGACTCTCCTACCTCTGCTGAGTAGCTGTGATTACAGATATGTGTAATCACCCTTGGCTCTGATACAAGTCTTCACATAGCATAGAAATTGAAAATAAGCAGTTAGGACAGCTCATTTTAGTCTGATGGAATAATTGTATTCAATTGAATCTCAAAGTAAGAAATTGCTGGCTTTTATTTTATGTATTTGTTGTGTGTGTGTGTGTGTGTGTGTGTGTGTGTGTGTGTGTGTGAGCTACTCAGATTTATGATCTTCCTGCCTCTCAGTGTTGGAATTATAGGCATGTTCATCATGCCTAGCTGTTGTTTTTTAAATTTCACTTTTGACTAATTTATTTTCTACCTTACTTTGCTAATTTCTTCATGACAAATTGAAGGAAAAGTGGAAAGAGAGTACAGATTTGGGAAATCCTATTCCCTAGAATGTTGCACAATAATTGATGAAGTAAATAGAAGCCACTTTCATGTTGTGTTAATTTTCTCACCTGGAACACAGACAATAACAACCTTTAATTTATAGAGCTAGATATAAGAATTAAGGGAAGATTAAGGAATGTAAAGCACACAGCATGCTCCCTGCCTTCGAGAAGTGGCCTGCTCAACATTAGTTTGTCGTATTTATTAAATAAAAAAGACTTGAGATGCCATTCTGCATTACATGCACAGGGGACACAGTTTCTGTCTGTGATGGCCCCTCGGTGAGTAGTCCATCAACATGCACCCTTTCTCTGGAATCAGGCCACCTGGTCTCACACCAAGGGTTCATTTACCATTGACTTGTGACAAGGGACCTACATTTGACTTTTGGTCTTCCTTGACCTTTCAGTGCAATTACTTTAGCATCACAGTGTGGACCTCTTTCAGTGTGTTTCCTTTGCCTAAAGTCATTAAATTTCTCCAGACCTTAACAACCAAAGTATTCTGGTCTTTATTATTACTAGAGGCTTTTATTATTTTGGGTAACAGGGTAAAATGACCTGTCACACAAGCGTGGTAAGTATAGACTGAAACTGCTTTGAAAAGAGCTATCATTTAAAGTGTTATCTTACAGTACAAATAGAGGAACATGCAAATTCTTCTAGTCAAAGTGATGAAATAATTTTTTAATAGTGTGTTTTGGTTAAACATCAAAAGCAGAGATCACTACCCTTTCAATGGGCATTTTGCTGGCCAAAGAAGGTGGGTGACCATTCCCAACAATAAATGCTTAATTGTGCATAATTCAATCAAAGAGTTTCCAATTCATTTTTAATTACAGCATAGTACAATAGGGAACATGAAGCTTTATAATTGGACTAACATGGATTTAAATTATGATTTTGCATTTAGTAGGTAGACCCTTCCTTCCTGTATCCGAGCCTCAGTTTTCTTTCTTTTTTTTTTTGGTCTTTTTCGTTTTTATTGTACCAGGGATCGAACTCACGACTGCCTGCTTGCAAGGCAGGCGCTTATGCCGCTGAGCTAAATCCCCAGCCCCCTCAGTTTTCTAATCTATAAATCAGGGCAACAAGATCAACTACCTAAGGTAATTATGAAAATTAAATGTGATAAAATCCACGAAATAGTGTTTGTCTATAAAACGCACCCAAATACTATTAACTCCCTTTTTCTTCACGTAGTTTGTACACCTCAGTAATTTCTTTAAAATAACTTTAGCTGAGACTCCTTGAATAGAATCAGACTTTACAATAGAATAAAAATAATCCTTTAGTATCTATGTTTTAAAACAGGCATTGGATTTGGCAGATTGTTTGCAAATGTGACTCTTTCCAAGGTCAGACATTCCTCAGCTCTTTTCACTCTGCCTAGAACTTTTGCTTTAGTGTAAGTTTCCAAGGCATGTGACTTGGCTCATTCTTATTTTTAGTCCCTTGCATGATTGGCCTTCTTCGAATGACCTGATACTTTCCTGCTCAATTCCATCTTCCTTTAAAATTGTTCAACATTTATGTGGTCCAGGAATTGGCAGAAAGGAGTTTGGTCACTCTGTCACAGCTAGTTTCTCCCAGCAAGCTGTACTGGTCCCCACTTTGGCATTCTCAGTATAATGCCCTATATCTTTCTCAGATTTTCAGATTTTTTTTTAACATTTTGTGGCTGAAGGATATTTAGGAAGACAGAGGCAGTCAGTAGCTCAAGATTACACATTTTGTTTTAAACAGGTAGCCTGTTGTTTCAGTTTTTAGTTTGGTGTTTGTATTTTGCAACCTTTCTTCACTTAGCAGGGAGATAGTATTGTTGGCTAGTAGATTTGGAAATCTCTAGAAGAAACAGCAGATGAGCAGCTTAGGGTGTGATGAAAGATGGCAGCAGCATAGAGGAGAGTAAAGGAGGGAGAAAGAATGCCTCAGAGAAATCTACTATTTGCAACTATTTCACATTATAAGAAAAAATAAGTCAATTAAATAACAAAACATTTTTGTTCTGCTTCTATTTTGTGCTTAGTAAACAGCACCATTGTTACCGCTAATGAAAACTGCAAGGTAACTATCCTTTTCTCCCAGCACTAATGCTAAACAATCTACTGGATTTGAGTCAAAATTGTAAATGGGTAACATGTTAAAAATAAAAACAGAAAAATGAACCTGGCATTCTCCTGAAGAGTTGAGGGTGAATATAGGACAAGAGCCAGAAAGCAGAGTTGTTATAAAAATAACCAGCACAAACATCCTTGAACTGATGTTTTCTATAAAAGTCTGATGGCCGTGAATTGGAAAGAGTGAAGTTGAGAATGGGGGAAGGAACGAGGGAATCAAGTGGTGTCTGCTTATTGTCAGCTTGCTTTCATGTAAAAGTCATGGCAGGGTCAGCAACAAACTAGCCAGGTGGCAACTCCAGGCCATGCTGCCATAAATAAATAGTTATGTACTAATGTCACACAACCAGGGTGAGATGCAAAGCATATGGGAAGAAAACATTCTGATGTAAATATTCAGACAAAAATGATGGTTGCTGAATTTAGAAGCCACTGTTGCTCCTGGATTTTGAGACAATAAAGTGATACAACATTTTTTAAAACCCCAACTAAATGAGTCTCAGAAATGCAGAGTATTTTCTACAAAAACAAAAACCCCTTAACCTTTGGCTTAGGAGAGTGTGACTATTTGATGTAGTAATTAAGAATTACTGAGAGTTGGCAAGCCCACAGACTGTGGAACCCAATTTCTGGAGTTTAATACTTACCCCTGGCACTTACTTGTTCTCATGACCTTTGGAAAGTTCCTTAACCTTTTCATGCCTTAGTTTATGCACTCTGCGCAAAAGAGAGTAGAGGATGATAACGGCGAGAGCCTGTATCACAGGAAGTTGTGAGGATTAAGTCTTTACATGGACAGCCTGTAACGCAGTATCTAGTAAACACCCTGTCCATTTTTATCATGTAGTTTATTTATTTTATATAGACTATTTGCTGGACATTATAAGTAATCCTTTATTTGTACTATTTTACTTAATCTTAAAAGCAGCTCCATGGATTAAAATTTAATTTTATAGACACTCTTATCAAAGCTTTGAAGGATTAAGGAATTTATCTAAAGACTCGCATATCTAAACTACACTTCCAACACAGGCTTTATTCCATATGAAAAAATTTAAAACACTTTACATGTTCTCTAAAATCTAATCATTTTTTTCTCCTTCCTTCGCTTAAAGTGTTAAGATTTGAAGAAAATAAACACAACACATGGCCTTCTAAGAATCAAATGGATTTTTAAAAACAGGGATTAAAGGAGAAGCTTGTTTTCCAGTAAATTGCCTTAGGAGAACTGAAATCCATTCACACATGTAGAAAGCAAAAGAATGGCTTAGTGATTCATTCCTCCAAACATTTATTGGGCATCTGTGTTTTTCCGGAGGGCTAGGGTGAAAAAGACTATGATGTCAGTCCTTGCGCATCTAATTGAAGGTAGTGAAAGTGACATTCTTTACCGTTGGTTGTCTGATGAGGTAGAGTTTAAATTTAAATGTTTTCCAATAAAGATAAAACTGATTTCCACCATGGCTGCCAAATTGTGTAACTCCCCAGCAGAAGCCAAAGAGCCTGTTTAGCGCAATCCTATGGAGACTGCCGCGCGGCTAGGTCTCATAGTACAGGCGGGCGTTTCTTTGCAAAGCCGGCCTCTGCTTCCAGCTGCACGAAAACGCGCGCGCGTGAAATATTCAAATCACGCGCTCAGGCAGAGGCTTTCGGGGGCTGAAGCTGAAGGCTGGCGCGTTACCACGTGAGCCCTGTCCCTAGTTGTGTGCGTTAGGCTTTCCTGGCTCCTAACAACTGGGAGAAGATAAGTTCCAGGAGCACTCCCCGGCCTTCCCAGGTAGGCAAAGCCAGGGGACGACTGCCCGCTGAGACGCTGAGACGCTGAGACGCTGGCGCTGGAGACTTTGGTCGCAGCCCGCCACTACTTCCTGGTTGGTTTGCCCTTACCTGACATGGCGCCTAAATGCCTTCAACTGGGCCCTCTGCGGCTGCTCAATAAACATTGATTGGGCAATCCGGTCTACAGCCCGCCCCCACCACGGAGGTGCCCGGTGAAGCCTGGGATTCTGAGTGTCTCCGCCCCACCTGTACAGCTGGCAGTGTGCTTCTGGGGGCATAAGGACAGGCTAAGTAAGACAGGGACCCAGACGTACCTCTCTTTGCCCACCCCTCGTTTCCCGGCCCCAGGGCTGTTCCACCTCCAGGGTGTTTTCTCCTTGTCCCTGTCACCACCGGTCCCTGGCCCAACATGATACTGACCAAAGCCCAGTACGACGAGATAGCTCAGTGCCTAATATCTGTACCGCCCACCAGGCAGAGCCTGAGGAAGCTGAAGCAGAGGTTCCCCAGGTAAGTGCCCCTCCCGGTGCCCTTGTAGCCCTTTCCAGCTGCAGCTGTGCCTTGGCAGCCCAGTCAGCTATAGGAACCACGTGTCACACACGAGTGTGGAGGAGCTCGCCTTTGAAGGGTTAGCAGGTCCAGGATGGTGGAAGAACGCTCTTCTTTCTCCTGCTTTCCACACAGAACTCCCAGTGGTTGAGTCCTTTACGGCTTCCCGAGGCCTTATAATTAAGTTCAGGTCAGCCCATGTTTATCGAAAACTTACTACATGTTTGTATGACGCGTGCACACAGGGGTCCCGTGGTTAACTGACAGATACTACCAGTGGGTGGTGGGTGGCAGGGGCTTCGCAGAGTGAAACCTGGAGCTGTAGATTCAAAAGGAGTGCATTGAGGTCCCTTTGCAGTTGGCCACTGGAAATAAAAAAGGGAACGCAGGCCAGACTGGCCACATACTGCTGTTGATAGTGCCTAGTCTAGACTGCAGTTACGTGCCTCAGGGTTTCTAGTCCAGGGAGAGAAACTAGAGCAGGGTAATGTTTCTGCTCTGATGTCTGCACACTCCAGGTAGAAGTATTTCGTCTTTCTGTCTTCCCCAATCATTCCTTTTTCTCAGTAATTTTAGAATTATCCATTTTTCTTAGAAAGGATGTGAGGAATTAAGAGTCTTCACTTTAAAGATGAGAACGCTGAGACCTAAACTTTACATGCAGTTCAGGACAACTAAGTTCTTACATTTATGCTGTGTTCTAAGTACAGAATGTTTGCAATGCTTTTTTTATAACTCAAAAAAATTCAAGCTTGTACATTTAGTTTCATGACAGTAGTCATGGTTATTCCTAATGGAGAGGCTTGATGTGTGGCCCTTGACAGAGACACATCCCCACACCATAGAAATTACTTTTTTTTTTTTTTTTTTTTTTTTTTTTTTTGTACCCAGGATTGAACTCAAGATCTCCAGCTTGCCAGGCTGCCTCTTATGCCCGAGCTAAATCCTTGTCCGCACCCTTTTTGTACTGGGAATTTTAATTCACGACTTTGTGCTTACCAGGCAGACGCTTGTGCTGCTGAGCTGAGCTATATCCAGAACCCCTAATTTCTTTTTTAAGCAAAGAAAAGTGTTTGGATACTAGACATTAAAATACACGTTGAGACTTAAGTGGGAAGTCTTTCAGTTACCTCAGTGTTTGTACTAAATGGTGAACTGGTTTGTAAACCATTTAACAAATATCATCCAAGTTTAATTTGGGTATTATTTACCTCTTTATAGTCTTTAAGATGGTATGAGACTTCCAACAAGGAACAAAATTGACAAATTAGAATTTAATTTTCTGTCACTCATTCCTACTGACTCTCTCTTGAGCAGTAAAGTGGGTGAAAGTTGGACAGCCAAGGAAAATACTAGATTTTACTGGGCTGGTTTAGAATAGAACATACATTTTTGGTGTTCTGTTCTCATTGTGTACATGTATTATTATCTTGTAGTTTGGCATCCTAGTTCTCTTTGAATCTTTCTTCTCTTTCTCTTACTTTGGTCTTAACCTTCTCAGTAGTCATCAGTGCTTTAGAAGGGCTTACTGGTATGGAACACTAAACAGTTAGGCTTACTCTTTTTTTATTGTCTTTTGAGACAAGGTTGCTATGCACTTCAGGCAGGCCTTAAACTTACTTTGTAACCCAGGCTGGCCTCAAATTTGCAATGATCCTCCTGCCTCAGCCTCTCTAGTGCTAAGATTATAGGCATCTGCTACCACTCCCTGTTTAGACTTTAGAGATGTTTAGACTTTCTCTTTTATGCCTTTTTTTTTCCCTATTCATGATAGCTGAAGTATTTTCCACTTCTTCCAAATACAGAACCATTCAAGGAATAATTCTTTCCCTGCAGGAAACTTTATTTAGAGCCCAAGCTAATCTGCAGAAGAAGAAATAAAAAAAGCTGTTTAGTAGGTTGGGTCAGAATTTTGTAAATCATGCAGTTTTAGAGTTGGTGTCTCAGTTTTCATGGTATCATTGTTTCATTCTGTATGAATGTGGCAAAGGTCTTGAACAGAGATGGAATAGTTCATTTTGTCAGGGTTGGTTAGGTAAGGACCTCTAAAATAATTTCTGGTAGTTCAGAGAGGTTCCGTAACATCAAAAATCCCAAAGATGTTTAAGGACCGAATAGTGGCTAGAATATGTTTTGTTGTTGTTTTCCCCGTCTTGGTTTAGAGTGCTGTACTAGGTTGCTTTGATTAGTATTAATTAGTATCATTAATTAGTATTAATGATAACAATATCAGTTATTTTTTTGGTGGGTGCCCTTTTTTCAAAAGTGCATAACTATCTGCATTCAATTTTGTTTTATTTGGTTTTTTAAAAAAAATCTGTATCTTTTTGAGACAGGGTATCCCTGTGTAGTTCACGTTGGCCTTGAGATCACTGTGTAGTCCAGGCTGGCTTTGCTCTTGCAGCGATCCTCCTGCTTCAGCCTCGGAGGTGCTGGGATTACAGTAGTGCACCTCCATGCCTGGTTAACCCTGTTCATTTTGTCTATAGATTTTATTCCCCCTCCTCTGTATATCATGAGCCTTCCCATCTTTAAAATTCTTGTTTCAAATAACTGGTAATATCACCTCTGGATACACTAAACAGTTCCTTATTGTTGCTTTCCAAGGTTTTGTTTATATAGTATTTTATATAATTGATTTTAGCATATGTGTAAAGTCAGGTCTGCTTATTTTTTTTTTTCCCTGTAGACTCCCAGAAATTGGGAATGACTGAATCATAAGTTCTTAGCTTAGTTGGTCTCTAGCAGGCTCCAGTTCCCCTTAAACTCTTAAAAACAGAATACCAAAAAAAACCTGAAACCTCAAAAGCACTTTCATTTATGTGGTTTATCTGTAGATATTTTTCAAAATATGAACTAAAATATTTTTAAATGTTTACTTGTTACTTTATTTCCAAAACTAGTAAGCACAGTATTTCCTACCACATTTTATGAATAACTATAATTTTAAAAAAGTAAGCAAATGATATTGTCCAAACTTTTGTGAATCTCTTTAGTGCCTCTACTTAATAAAAGAAAACATAGCTATTTCTCAACTCAACTTGTTGGGTGCTGCCATCCTTACCTCCGGATTGAGCTCAGGACTTTCTGCACTGAGCTACATCCCTAGCCTGGTGTCTTCTTTTTGATTGTGAACCTTTTAAAGCTTTTAGTGATACAAACACCCCACAATGGCACACATACCATAGGTTCACCAATACTGGATTATGGAATATCAAGAAAAAGATAATTTAGTATGTGTTTGATATAGGTGTGAACATATTTATTACACAAACCAGCAAATGATATTTTCTTAAAGGTTATTGATGCAAGGTGAAATCCAGACTTTTATCAAGAAACTTTTTTAACTGGCTGTAGTGGTACACTCCTATAATCCTAGTGCTTGGTAGGCTGAGGCAAGAGAATCTCTGCAAGTTTGAGGCCATCCTGGGCTACAGTGAAGACAGCAGAACTACATAGTATGAGACCCTGTGTTGAAAGAAACTATTTACATTTTTATAATTCACTAGTCTATTTTGAACTTTAAATGGATCGAACCCATGCGTGAATTTTTGTTTTTTGAGTTTTTTTTTCCTGCTTTGTTATCCAGGGCCTTCGCACTGAGTTACATACCCAACCCATTTTTTATTTTATTTTTATTTTGACACAGAGTCTTATCCACTGATATGTCCAGGTTGGGTTTGAGTTTGTGATCCTCCTGGTTCAACCTCCCAGAGTGCCGAGTTCATAGGCTTGTGCTGCAGATTGTATATGACTTTTATTATTGTGCATTACTCATTTATAAACTGGTTATGAACTATACAAATCTTCCAAATGTCACCTTATATTATACAATATAAAAAAATCACATTTGTTAATAGCAACACTGATCTTGTCAGAAGTCTGTATGATTTGAATTTTCAAACTTATGGTGATGGATAGAGCTTTCTGGTATTTGAATTTTCCCTTGAAAGCTCAAATTTTCTGTTGGCAACAAATGCTACCAGTTGTTTTCCTTGAAGTGACAGGCTTGCATCATTTATTTTTGAGAAAATGTCTGCCAGTTCTCCAAATCTGAATAATCATACTTTGTTCATTCTTCATTCAGATAGGAATTGAGTTCCGTGAAAAAAGTGGCTAGTTTAGTTCTCAAGAACTCGAGTAAGTGCTTTCTCCTGAGAAAGCTATCACACTTCGGTGTGCAGTAAATGGTCTTTTGTATTTGCTTATTTTAATTAGTATTTTTAAGCAAAAAGTCTTTATTTTTTCTTTTTTTCCTGGGAGTGTGTGATGGTGAAGAATACAATAATCATAAACATAGTTATGATATACTTATTGTACATTTGTACAACATGTATGTCCAATGACAGCACAAGAGGAATGGTAATGAAATGTTGCTCTTTTTATAAAACATAGTTCAGTCTTGTAGGCACCTGAGAGGGTCCCAGGGACTCCACCAGCCCACTGAGCACACTTGAACGTCTACCACTTGAACTACTTTCTGTTTCTCTCTCTCTCTCTGTCTTTCTTCTTTCTTTCTTCCTTGATACTGGGGATTAAACTCAGGACCTTGCGCTTGCTAGGCATGTGCTGTGCCACCGAGCTGTATCCCTGGCCCCTCACTCACCACTTTAAATGAAAGACTATTTATGTTATGAAGGATTTTGATGTGTATTGACAAATTACTGTCAAAAAGGTGGTACTGCTCCTGTTACCAGCAGAACATGGGAGTGTCTTATCTCTGCAATTTTTGCCAGCGTTGAGAGGAGTCTTTATTGATCTTTGATATGTTGAATCAGGAATGACATGTTTTAATTAGCATATTAAAAGTTCTAATTGTGCATTTTTCCAAATGTGTTTTAAACATTTAATTTTCTTCTTGGATACGCTGAATACCTGTCCTCTGCTTAATTTCTACCAGAATGTTTACTGTTACTTGATCTGTTTGTGTTAAGGATGTGTATCCATTATGTGTCATATTT